ATGTGTTTTTATAGCAACTTTTGTATAATTTGACTCAATTAGTTCGCCAACATTTTGGAAGATCATTAATACAACCCATACGAGTGGCACCTCTTGTACAGGAGATATTTGAAACAAAATCATTGAATGGATTATGATTACACTTGTTATATTTGTGCAACTATTCAGATATTACCAAATTAACATTTTAATTTTACACACTATATATTTTGTTGTGTAAAAGTTGTTAGGTATAATTCTATATAATATTGTTTATTATATTTATTATTTAACATTTGTATTGATTATCTCTATGGTTATTTTGTTTAATAAGTATTTTATTTGATGCAAAACACTTGCTTAATTTTGTCTCAAATTAGTTATGCTGTAAATAACGAAATGCTTATTTAACATTTTAATGTAGAAGTTACAATTTGATCCTGATACTTTAATTTCATTTCAGTGCCATATTTTAACTTATTTACTATGTTTGTAATCAATAAATTAGAAAAGTTACAAATATTTCCTGTAATTCAATAATATTTTGCAATAATTGTTCATTTTAACAAAGGCATACGGATGATTGAATGAATAAAGTTGCGTTGCCTTGATTTTATTATAATAATTTTATAGTTATAATATTTTTAAAAAAATCAATATTTCCCAATAGTTGAGTAAATCTACAATTAGATGTGCTACAACTTAAGTGTGTATATTTAAAACTCTTTAAGACATTAATGTTTTTGCACTTAATAGTGATTTTAAGTGCATAATATTATTATGGAAAGCTTATGTTCACACATTCACAAAATGTAAACTTATATTTCATATGTTTTAACAATTATTACTCTCCACTCAATAATTGATCCGAAAAAATATACTTAATTTGAGAATTGGTCGCTATTTTTAATGAACACTTGTTTTTATTAAAGGAAAACATTAATTATTAATTAATATTTAAAATAATGTTTGAAATGTGTTGTTAAGTGAAACTAACAAAATATTAATATTTTATAATGAAATTAAACTACAATGCTGCCCTTTATGCTTAAACTAGATGCTAATTGAATTCACGTAAATTGTATTAATAATTAATAAAGTTAAGGTTAATATAATACATTTGAAGTCTGATTAAGTAATGATTACGTAATACTAATTGTGAAGGACATTGTGTTAAGAATGATAATAAATAATAATATAAATAAATAAAAATGAACGATAAAATTTGCACAGTTTGTGGCGATCGGGCAATTGGTATGTATATTAAGTTAATAGACATTTAATTTATTAATAATTAAATATCCGGACATATAAATAGGCCATAATTTTGGTGCCCTAACGTGTGAGTCGTGTAGGTCATTTTTTCGTAGAAATGCAACACGTTTTGAGGTTTATATAATTATTTTAAATTGAAATGTAATTTACTAACAATATGTTTACTAAGGAATATGTGTGCGTTTTTGGTCACAATTGCGATATTAACCGTTTGACGCGAAAATTCTGTAAAAAGTGTAGACTTAATAAATGTCTGGCAAATGGCATGAAAAAAGTGAGTAAATTGTGTGAAATATTTTAACTGTAATTAAAATGTATTGTTTTAAAGGAATCGTTAACTTATGGTGAATACAATTCTGTGCATCTCTTTCGACCAAAACGATTGAAAATTGATTATCCGATTGTCTCCACAACTGATGAGTATAGAGTGGACGGCTGTTTAGATGTCGGTACAAATAATGTGCGATAATTTAATTAAATATTATTGCTGTTATAATAATAACGATATTTGTCTTATCAAATAATTAGAAAATAATAGTTCCTAATAATAATGAATTTGATGAGAATAATAACAATTATAATCCAGATGGCTTAAATACAAACCATGAATGCTCAACTCGTTTAAATGAATTAAATGACAACAACAAAATTGATAGAATTATAGGATCAGTAATCCGGGGATTAATATTTAATTTCAATGAGTTAGAGATGAATAGATTTAAGGAGTTATTCAATTCAGTGGCTTTGGTCAGAGGAAAACCTGTACCGCCGTTGACGACAATAGCGTATGAGACGGAGAGTGTGTCGGATGGCATTCAATTGATGCAAAACAGGGCTAATACAAAGTTTACACTAATTGTCAAAATGTCGGCAAATATTAAAGGATTCAATGATTTGTGCGAAGACGACAAGATTGTGCTCCTGAAGGCCGGCTGCCCTCAACTCTGGCTTTTGCAGAATATCATTAATTTCGATATCGACGGCAAGTTTTGGAGAGTTTTCATTGTATGCCATTAATAATAGCCTATTATTCTGTTTAAAACATTTTTAAAATACTATATTTTAACCATAATATGTTAGGGGGAAGAGAAGGCAACGCTATTGCGGACGAGTGTTTTGGAGGGATGGAGTGATGAAGTGATACAAAGCCATAAGAATTTCATGTTTAGTTTGAACGCTGAATACAATTGTGATATGAGTTTAATTGATTTGGTAACTTATTAAACAAATATTTTATATAATAAATAGTGATTTTGAGTGTTAATAAATTGTTTGATTTAAATGTTTAGCTATCATCAATTGTGCTTTTTGATCCAGATGTACCAAATTTGGTTCACAAAACCAGTATAAAGTAATGTTATATTTATATTGAAATAAAAATTGTTACAATTTATTTATTTTCTTATAGATTACAACAGAAGACATACATGTATTTACTTCAACGGTATTTAGAGATTAAACACAACTCAAAGTCAGAATCGGAGACACGATTCAAGCGTTTAATGAATTGTCTGCGAGCGTTGTATCCGTTGACTCAATTAGTTCGCCATCATTTTGGAAAAGCACTCATACATCCCATACGAGTGGCACCTCTTGTACAGGAGATATTTGAAATATAATCTGTTGATCATGATTAATTAATTGCATTTAATATAATTTTATAGCTAGTCAAATATTACAAACATAACAGTTTAATTTTACATTCATGTATTTTTATAAACATTTACATCATGTTATAAAATATAATATTCCTCATTCGTATTTACATTTATTATTTTTATTTAATTTACCTTAGGTAATAAGTTATTACTAATAACTTAATTATAGATAGCATTATAGTATTAATCTATTATTTCCGCTGTCCATTTAATTCATGTGTTAGTCAATCGCAGACACATTTTTAAAATTAAATTATATATTTATTAATAATATTAAATAAATAAAACTAATGAATTATAAAATAATGTTAAACAATATAATACTCGGTTAGCACTTAATGTTCGGGTCATTGCCTATAATAACAAGGCATTCAGAAATAAATGTCCATAATGGCCATAACTTAAAAACGAATAAAGTTAATTTGATTCTGTCTTCGGATTATAATAATACCATCCCATGTCCACATCTCACATAAATTTTATCA